TCTCAATCGATTATAGTTATGTAAAATAATATTTTAGATTGATATAGAATGATATTATTATTATTTTAAGTAATTACAATAAAATCAAAACAAATTACCTAGGGTAATTTTTTTAATTAATCACACAATCCTCAATCCAATTCAAAAGCAATCACTAAAAAGGCACCCTAAAAATAAAATTGTGAGAGAATATCAAATCTAACCCTGTCTCATTTCATCTAATTAAAAAATATTGTCATTTAAATAGAAAATTTTATTTACATTATTTACATATCTTTCAAAATTAAAAATTAGAAATTAGAAACTATGTATTTTTTAGCAACTCTATTAATATATATATATATATATTAATATTTAAAATATCATCTTGAACCATTCCAAAAATTAATAAACAAACTATCTTCCAAAGTAGAAAATTACAAAGAAGACACCCATAACATTGGAGAAGTTGCTTTGGCTTGAACTTCACCTCTGTCTCATTTCATAAACAACTAAAAATATTGTCATTCAAGAATGTGGATGTTTCAATTAATACTCAAGAGGTTGGATGTCTGTTACCTAGTTTGCCCTCAAATTAGTCATTAGATATGACCAGGATTAGCTTTATTTGTTATATAAATGACAACATTAATCTAGTGGCTCAGCCTTCTAACTCTCAAGTAGCGAATTCAACATGCAATAAACCTGTCAACATTCTTGCCCTTCTTGTTGCAGCAAATGTTCAAAGTTGCCTCCAAAGTGATTGTGTGTTGTTTCATATGCTTTTTGCTTTCTCCTTACTCCTCATGACACTCAACTAATTACATAAGCATCCTTGCTTAATGAAGCCTTCTTTCTCCTTCAAGCAGAGTTAATTTTGGGTGAGTCTCAATCCAAAGGTTAATTGTCATCCAACTATGACATGTTTTGACAATAGAAAATTAGTAGCTATATATTAGCTTGTTGGGATTGAGATGCAAACCTATATTGCAATGGAATATTATTGCTATCATGTGAATTACAATATCTCAATGAGCTTAGACATTATTCCAAAAAAATATAGATAACCAAGAAAAATACAAAATTCGAGTCAACTAAGATTTGATACCAACTATAATAAAATTTAAAGATAAGATTATTCACCTATTTAGCAAATTCATATCTAGGCTCCTTTCATGTATGCCAATGGAGACAGTCACAAAAGAAAATTTGTAGCATAATTGAGACTGAAATTTGGAGGCAAGGGAAAATGTTGGGTAATCAACAATCATAGCATGTTAGCTTTATAATCACCAAAGTGTGTGCTATTGGAGTTAGATGCTTGTGGATAGGTGTGGTATGCTAAACAATTTACTTGAAAAATTGGAGAAGCTAAGAAAAATTTTCAGCAATGAGGAATAACCAATGAACAAATAGATAGTCTCATGAATTGCAAAAATTTAATTACCCTATAAAAAAAGGAGCATGAATTATACATGAATTAGTTGAAACCGGAAGTGTGGAATGAAATTGTAGCCAAACACATTTATTTATAATTGGCATAATATCTATGCTAGAGGACATTTAAATTTAAATTGCTAATCTAATATAATTATTGGTTATCATGAATAATTATTATGAGTAATTTTAAAATTAAAATTCAAAACAGAATCAAGCTTTGAAATTAAAGTTACTATTTATTCAAAAATTTGAATCATATTTAGCATAAATAATTATTTTGAGTAATTTTAAATTTTAGTATTTAGTAATATTTTATCCCATAACTAAAAACTATATATTTGAATTTCGAATAGATATATATACACTTTATTATATGATTGAAATTTGGGAAAATCACTCAAGATATATATCAATTTATTATATGATTGATTGTATGAACCTTAATTTTTGACAAATATTCAGGGTGCTTCAAAATTTTCAAAAATCACGAAGACAGATAGGAAATTTTAAATACATATTCTTTTTTCTAAATTTTAAATAGATAAATATTAATTTGAATTCAAATGTGATCAAATTTGGATTTGAGATAGATAAAATTTATTTTTTAATACATCTAAAAATATTAATTCATCTCACACCTAAATCTAAACTTAAATAATATATTTTATATATATATTAAAAAAAATAAATCATAAACTTAATCTCAAACCTAACTCCAGAGCATAGAATTATAAGAAAAGCATCCCGAATTATAGAATTACAGCAAACTTAAAAACAAACATATGACATTTTCTCATAACTTTTAACGCTATTTTTATATATATAATGATGCTACAGAGGTCTTTGATTATAATCTTTTGTCATTATTTGATGCTTTCAGGAAATAATGGAGCCGAATACATATTAGCTTGTCCCTTATGGCTCAAGGGGCATATTATCCCAAAATTGATTATTTTTTGAAGTTTATTCTTTATTTAAAGGATTTAAAGTTAGGCCTGTAATTGCATTTTTATTATTTTTATTTTTTTAAAAAACTAAAATGTTCAATTATCATGTTTCTTATTTATTAAAATATAAATATAAATTAAAATTTTGAAAAATTAAAATTAAATAATAAAAATATTAATTTTAAAGTATAAACATATATTTTGAAGTTTAAATTTAATTTAAAAATTAATTTTTTTTTATTTTTTAAAAAATAAAAACTGATCATATATATTTTGTCGTAGAGCCTGTTAGGTTTGGGCATCAAGTCTCTGTTTCCCTCAAGCGAATGCCATTTCTTTAACCCCAAATTTTTATCCAGGTAAAAAAAACAAACCCCCAAATTTTTATAAAAACTTACTTAAACGGATGGCGATTGAGCCTGATCCTCATTCCCATGTGCTGTCAAATCAGTCTGGAACCAATCAAATGGTCCATTCGATTCCCTCAGAAAAAAACACCCATATTCTATTCCCCTTGCGGGATTCATCCTATTTATAATCTACCAACAGCACAATTTAGTATCTAGTTATACATTTGGTAAGTTTTAAAATAGGTGAAAAAATAGAGAGGAGAGCCCAAATGGCGCGCACAGCCCACTAAATTACCATAATAAATGGGGATATTATGCTACTTTAAAAATATAAAATATTTGAATTAAAATTTATTTTTTTTAATTAAGTAGTTATTTATTTTTGGAATTAACCTTATTTTTTCTATTTATTTTTATTAAATATATCTATAATAAATATAAATTTATCATTAATAAAGACACTTATGAATAAGAGACAATAATTATACCTTATTAAAAATATTTTATATTTTTTAACATTCAATTTTTTAACAATATTTTATAGTATCACCAGTCTGTTCTATTTTGGGTTACCCATTCCTCATATGTTGTTGCGTTATCTCATGACCTCACCCCTTTAATCAATATTTACACATGGATTTCCAGAATCCACACAACAATTGCGCAGAAAAGTCACAGTCACCAATTTTCGACGTAGTGATATGATTTTAGATTAATAATATTTGTAGTGAGATTTATATTTAATTATATACCTTTGTTAGATAAGTGTTGTATATTTAATTTTTAAATTAATTAGACAAATGTTAATTCTAAATTTTCATGTTCATATATAGTTAAATACTTTTATTTGGTTGTTAGTTTCAAATTTAAAATTATTATATATTTAATAATTTAATAAACAAAATTTTAAATTGGATAACATAATTTTTGGTTAGTATTGGATAAAATAATTTATAATTATATTTTATTCAATCAATAATATTTGAAAGAAATTATTATGTACTCTCCCCATTAAAAAATATCAGACCTTTTTTAAGAGTTTGATATTAAAAAAATATAAGATATTTTTAGTCTTTTGACGGTAATCATTACCTTTTTTTTTCAAAAGTACCTTTAAGTGTAATCATTACCTTTTTTTTTCAAAAGTACCTTTATTGATAATGAATTATATTTATTGTAGGGTATTTAATAGGGAATAAATATGAAAAGATATGTTAGTTTAAAAGTAAATAATTGCTTTATTGGGGATAAAAATTTGATGAAAAATACCTTACATTTTTTAACGAAAGGAGTATAAAATATTAAAAATATTAAAGTTTATTATATATAAATATTTTTATAACTAATAAGTTTATTATTGTCTATATAAAATAACAACTTTTTTCTCTTTCTATTTTCCTTTGCTCAGCCTAATATAATAAGATTAAAACTATATTCTTTTACTTTTCTTTTCCTCTATTTTATTTCCTTTTTATTTTTTCCTGCTTAGTCTCTAAATTTCTTAATACTCTCTTTGTTCTAAATTATAACACCCTTCAGAAAAGATGTAATGTTCTAAAATATAAGATATTTTGATAAAAATAAAGTTTCATTAATGATATTTTTTTAAAATTATCCTTCCCATACATTCTCTCTCTTCAATATTATTTTATCAATGGAGGATTAAATGAAAGGTATTTTTAAAAATTTATATTTTTGTCTTGAAAATATAAAGTTGTAAAATATATTTAATGAACTTTATTTATATGTAAAATTTTATTTAAAAATATCTTATAATTTAAAATGAAAACAGTACTTTTTTTAGAGAGAAAAGAGGAGGTGGGTCCCATCACACTCTTCCACTGTGTGTGTTTATTTTTTTTGGCCAACAACTTCCACTCTGCGTCACTCTCCAACATTTACATGACTTTTACCTAAAATCACTAGACATATCCTCAAAATTTAGAATTTGCGACTGCTTATTTTGGTTATTTTGTGTGTTAGCACATTACTTTCTTTAATAGATTCCCTCTCTGCGTGCCAGAACAAACATCCATAAAAGCCAAAGGTGCATGAATTAGGTGGCATTAATTCTTGCTCAAAATTATTGTATGCGGCAAGTATATTAATTTGGTGGCATTAATTCTTGCCTAAAATGCACACAATGAATTGCTAGGTTTGTTAGTACATGCCTTGGCTTCTGACATGGAATCTATTTCCCATTTGAGCTAAGCTTTGTCATAAAGAATAGGATTTGGGAATAAAATGAAACCGCAGACCAACTTGAGGACAAGGAAGGTGAGATAGTGACTACCTCTATGTGTAACGCATTTATGAGATCAAGTCTTGTTGCTTTGCTCTGTAGGCCCCTTTCTCTGGTTTCTTCTGTAACATCGTCTCATCGTCTTCGTCGTTATGTTTCAAGCTATTTGAGAAATTAACAGGAATATTAGCGATGAAGAAAGAGCATCAAAATCTACTTCTCCGACCAGAGACGAGGAGCCGGAGGGGGTTTTGTTCAGAAAATACGAGATTCGCAAGTTCCTCGGCGTTGGGGGTTTCGCTAAGGTTTATGAAGAGTCCGACGTTGTTACGAAGGAGAGTGTGGCCATTAAGGTCGTGAGCAAGCGCAGGATAGTTGAAGCCTGGCTCACGACGCAGCTTCACAGGGAAATCACTATCATGCGCCGGCTTAATAATCCCCATATTGTCAAGCTCTACGAGGTCGTTGCCACCAAGACCAAGATTTACTTCGTCAGGAGTGTGCCCAAGGCGGTGAGCTCTTCGACAGGCTTCTTAATCACGGCCTCTTCGACAAAGATCACAACCCGTCGGTGTTTCCATCAGTTAATCTCGGCCATCCGGCATTGTCATTCTCTCGGTGTGTTTCTCCGGGATTTGAAGCTCGATAACCTCTTGCTCGACGAGGATTTGAAAATCAAGGTTTTGACTTCGGGTTAAGCGCCACGATGGACCAAGTTCGACCCGACGGCATGCTGCACACTCTCTGTGGGACCCCTGCTTACTTGACTCCCGAGATGCTCGCGAAGAAAGGCTACGACGGAGAGAAAGTCGACGACTGGCAGTGTGGTGTCGTTTTGTACGTGCTCACCACCGGGTCTTTGCCGTTCAACGATGCTGAGAAGAATCTACGGAGAGAAATGTTAAAGGAAAAGAAAAAGCAAGGCCATGAACGAGAGATATATTTATAGCAAGCCCAAGGAAAAAAAAAAAGCTATGTAGTCTAGTCAAGCTTGGCTAACCTAGGAGTAAGAATCATCTTTTTGGCCTTTATATAACACGCACGCGTTACATTATTCATAAGCATAGCAGAAAGAGAGAGAGAAAGATGAGGAGAGAGAGTAACTGTCATCCATTGTTGAGAGGAGAGAGAGGAGAGAGGAAATATAGGCATGGGTTCTCAGAAGGGGAAGTGAAGTCACTGGGAAGCATATGTGAAGTTGTGTTGCCATCTTTGCCTTTGGAAGCTCTTCGCACTCAGACTCGTTCAAGGCCCCTTTCGACCTTCTGGTCCTCTTCTGCTTCTCGCTATCCGACATCCCTCATGAGGTACGTACCTTGCTGCTCATTGATCGCCCCTCCAAAACATTTTATTTCTTGTTATGTGAAAAAGGAAGCTGTATTTGGTTTCTGGTCTGCTGAATTTCTTCGTCTTTTTCTCTTGTCTTCTCCTTCTTCTTTTTCTGAAAGTCCGTTTAGCTGCTATTAGAAACATAGGCCATGCATGACATGAGACTGTTGTCTGTTGCTGTGTAAGTTTTAACATGAATACAGACTCAACTTGTCAGGCTGGCTCGTTTAGGCCTGTTTAATGGAAGGGTTACAATTAAAACTCTTCAAATGTAATTTAAGCTTAAACGGGTTAATTTTAATGGGCTTGAAAATAAACGGGCTAATCCTAAAGGGTCGAAAGCTAGGTCGTTTAAGTCCGCATAACTTTTTATTTTTTTGCATTCAAATTTTATTTTTTTGTATTCAAATGATTAATTTTTGACAGACTCTTAGATTTGAAAAAAAGTTTAAGTATAATCTATTAATACATGTTAACCCATATCTATAGGGAAGAAAAAACATTAAAAAAATAACAACTACACTTAAATCCTCTAACTTAACTTTCTAGACTACAGTCCACCGATTCTGCTTCTCTGTGATTTATCTCTTGTTCATGTGAGTTATGCTCATCTCTTATCATTTCTCTTTATCGATAGCATTTCTCGAATCCCAACAGTGCTCTTTTGTCTACGATCGTGCTTCATTATGCTCCTTCGTCTATGACAATGCTTCGCCAAGCTCAAAGACTCAAATGACAACGTCTTTCAAGTCCTCCTCTTACTTGAATAGAACCGTAGTCTGATTTGCCTTTCTTTATTTTTCCCTCATTCTTAGTTTTGCTCTCAGTTAGACTTGTGTCTATAGTTTATCTCGTTTGGTCATTTTGATGCTATCATTTTGTTTGTGTTTATGGTTTTTTAGTTTTTTATTTTGATTGTTGTCATTTTGTTTATTGATATGAATGTGCTTTTGATTTATATACTAATATGAGATTTTTGAGTTGTGAAATGAAATGGAGTATTACTATTTAATTTGATAAAAAAATTTAATAGAGAAAATAAAAATAAATAATAGGGCTTGAAGCTCGCTATCTCAAAGGCCGAGCCCTACAATTTGATACTTCAAAAGTAAAACGTTCTTTTTAAGGCTAGCTTTTTTAGGCTTGAGCTCGTCAAGGGCTAACCCATTTTTTCAACTCTAATGACTACATGTTAGTTTCACAAATGAAAAGAGAGAGAGAGAGAGAGAGAGAGGAGAGAGAGAGAGAGAGAAGAGGAAATGGCAATTAGGGACCCTATAAAAATATTAATGATAATAAAAAATTATAGTCTTTACTTGTAATTTAAAAAATGTGAATACTCAGTTGAAAAATCTACTGGCTATACTTGGGACTATGTGCCATGTTAATTAAAAATTTACAAAGGTAGTTGAGAATCTCAATTTTTCATTGTTAATATATAAATAAACTATGCTAGAGTGGCCAAGCTAATTTTTTCAATTGCATATATAATTTCTTTTAGGAATATTATAGATATGATTTTAATATATATCTTTGAGATAAGAAGATTAGGGAGGATTTTTTTTAATTTATCTTTCTTTATTTTTTTATTCATAAAAAATATATTTTTGATCATGAAAATTATTTTTGGCTTGCTAAAAACATTTTAATTATAATTTTTTTTTTGGGATTTAAGGATCAATTCAAATATACAATAAAAAGACAAGTCATGACTTGATAGGTCTGCAAGTACTAAAATAAGGATAAAAAACAAACGCCGAAAAAGGTAAGTTGGAAGACATAGAAACAAGTAAATATAGAAAGAAAGTCCATTATGTGTCTTCCACAATGGAACTCATCTTTTTCTTCAGATTGAGCAGATCTGCAACTGCAACTAATCCTTTCAAATTGCACTGTAGCTCCAGAGATTGTGAGTTGCTCATAGAAGTTTCAGTTCGAGTAATCCAGTAGAGTATACTGCGAAAACATGCAAGAGCAAAAACATTTGGATCTGTGTGATCAGAATTCTGGAACAGAACACTCTGCTGCAAATCTTCCCGTAGAAAAATGTGAACTGCACAATAGGTACATTTTCTTTTCTCTTTGAATTTCCACATTTTAACTTTTCTGGTGATGACTATTGTGCTAGAAAATAAAACTTGAGGAATTTTGATTATTAACCTTCCAGTCACAAACAGATCTAAGAAAACTGAGAAAAAAATGGAATTCCTTTATCACTTGGGCAGGCGGATTAAGAATACCTTGGTGGAGAGCCACGTTTCTTATTTTGCTCTTGTCAACTGAACTGTAATATTGGCCAAAAAAAGAAAAAGAAACTGAACTGTAATAAATGTATCATTTGTATATTAAAAATTTGACTCTATCAGTGTATCTCTCTCTTTTTTGGCCAACATAAGTCTCATTTTTTAATACCCTCAATCTGGGTTGCAATTTATCTCTCACGTGGGGTGTTTATGCTTCACTTTAAAAAATATATCATTTTTTTAATCTCAATTTATATCAATTTTTTAGACAAAAACATGTATCAATTTTTTTAATACATATATACAGAATATGTTAAGACTAGAGCAATTTTTTTATGCAATTTATGTTTTATAAAATAGATTTATATGAGAGAAAGTAAAATAAAATAAATTTTTCTATATAAAGGTATATTAATAAATTAATTATTATCTCTTTTCTTCTCACCTCTTGAATCAAATAAAAAATTATTAAAAATTTCTCAACTCACCTTCACTTCAATAAAACTAAATAAAATAAGATAAAAACATTTCTCACCCTTCCCTTCCCTTAAAACTAAGTATTCCCTCCTCTTAAATTATAAAATATTTTAAATAAAATTTTACATACCAATAAATCTCATTAAATATACCTAACAATTTTATCTTTTTAAAATAAAAATATAAATTTTTAAAAATACTTATCATTTAATATATTAAAAAGAAAAGGGATGAAGATTAATTATATAAAGAGACAGAAAAAAATAAAATTAACACATTTAATAAAACATTAATCTATTTAAAATATTTTATGTTTTGAGATAAAAAATTTTTTTAAAATATTTATAATTTAAGATGAATGAAGTATAAACTGTAATTCAATCAAAGAAAAAATATACCCTGTGGATTTTATGGGTGCCTGTGCCGGCATACAGGGAAAAGCAACCGAGTCAAATATATATATATATATATATATTAAATCAAATTTGAAAATATACCTCCGCCTTTTTTTTTTTTTTTATAATGAAAGGCGTACCCGGCGATGGCTGGGGATTATTACGGTCACCATGACAGCTTTACAGTGACGTTTTATCAAAATGTATCTCCACTTTCCCTTGGTTGCCTCTGGGCCAACCGAGGAAAAAAAAAAAAAACTCAATTTTTCATCTTTTTATGAGAATTAGTTTCCTGCTCATCCTCACCTGCTCGTTTTTAAAGTGTGATTTGAATCATTTTAATTTTAATTTTATAATTCAAATTTAAAGTATTATTATATTATTATATATTATATTTATTAAAATAAAAATTTATAAAATAATTTTAATAATTTTTTATTTTATTTTGGCCAAGATTTAATTTAAAAAGTTAAATTTAATATTAAAATTTTTATAATTGATATATATTAATTATTTAGATTTATTCTGTGCAGTTTAGGACTGTGTAGAGTACATTTTAATAATTAATATATATTAATTATAAAAATTTTAATATTAAGTTAGACTCGTTAAATTAAATTTAAATCAGATTAAAAATAAAAAATGTATTAAATATAATATATAATAATACATTTAATAATATATTATTATAAATTTTTATAATATATCGTGTGCTCATCATGAGCATGAAACCAAACGCCTTTTTATACCACTCGCAGGCTCGGACCGAAGACCCCCAACCCTTCTCTCCCTTCCCTTCCCCGACCAACCGATGTCCCCCTCCCCTCGATCCCTCGTGTCTGTCTCCCTTAGTTGCGTCTCTCTCTGCTCACCGTTGTGTTTTTCACACAGTCCACCGTCATCCGCCCTCCGTTCTTAGCTTGAAATAGAAGTTTGAAGGCCGTAGTTTGAAAGCCCGCTATTGTGCTCCTTGAAAAGATTGATATATGTAATTGACTTGTGTGTGTTCTATGCGATTTTTTTTTTTTTGCTTGCAGGCACTAGTTCTATCTAAGCATGGGATAAAATTAAGTTCTCTTTGTTCTTCCCGCTTCCCTTTTCTTCTCCAGCAAGAGATTTTCCCTTTTTTTTTTTTTGTCTGCTCCTTTAAACCAGTTTATAGATATTTGCTCGTTTTAATAACTTTTCAGTAGCCAATGTGTACTGTTGAAGGTCCTAACTCATCAATATATAGGATACCTTTCCCTACAAGTAGTGTCGTCACATTCAAGCAAAAATGGAAAAAAAAAAAATGAGAGCTTCTTATTAAAAAAAAAAAGTGAGCAAACGAGCATTCTTTATAAGGGATCTTAAAGTGGGGATGTATTTGCTTTGAAATCATTGATATAACAAATCCCACATATACTGTATAAAATTTTACAAACTTGCTTCACCGAAACTCCTTTACATGTCTTATCTTTGCTTGGCCACCTTAAATTTACAAAGCAACTTCTCACCTACAAATCCAATCTAGCCCTTGAGGTGGACTCTACACGAAGAGCAGCCCTCCACTTAGTTTTTGTAGAGGATCACATCCACATCGTGAAGGAACTTCTGAGAACTAATAGTGAGCCATGCTTATTTCTTGATGAAGAAGGAAGAGTTTCTCTGCACTATGCTGCTATGAGAGGGAGAAAGGAGGTTGTGTAAGAGTTGATCAATGCCAAGCCTGAATCTTTGAGGTTTTGTGACAATGGCGAAATTGTTTTTCATTTGTTGTGACATACAACCATTTAGAGACTCTTAAAGCTTTAGTGGCATTTGAGGTTTCCCACATTGATGAGACTCTCAATCATTTTACAAGCTTTGATAGTGTTAAAAACACCAATCTCCATTTATGTATGATAGGCTCAACTAGCTTTAACATGACAGTGAAATGAAAAATGGTGTTTCCAATACTATTAAAGCTTGTAAAGTAGTTGAGAATCTCATCAATGGAGGAAACCACTGATTTCACTTAAGCTTTGAGAGTCTCTAAATGGTTGTATATCACGCACAAATGAAAAATAGTTTCACTATTGTCACGATACCTTAGAGATTTAGGCTTGGCATTGATCAACTCTTGCACTTAGGCTTGGCATTGATCAACTCTTCCTTTTTCCCTCTCATAGTAGCATAGTGTAGAGGAATTCTTCATTCTTCATCAAGAAACAAGCATGGCTCACTATTAGCTCTCAAAAGTTTCTTCATGATGTGGATGTGATCCTCTATAGAAGCTAAGAGGAGGGTTGTCCTTCAGGTGGAGCCCACCTCAAGGGCTAGATTGGACTTGTGGGTGAGAAGTTGCTTTGTGAATTCAAGGTGGCCAAGCAAGGATGAGATGTGTAAAGGAGTTTCGGTGAAGCAAGTTTGTGAAATTTTGTGCAAGATATGTGGGGTTTGTTGAATAAATGGTTTCAAAGCGGATACATTCCCATTACAAGATGCCTAATGAAGAATGCTCACTTTCTTGATAACAAGCTCTCATGTTTTTTTTTTTTTCTACTTTGCTTAAATGTGACGATGCTGCTTATAAAGAAAGGGTATTCATTTTGTTGACGAATTAGGATTTTCAACAATACACATCTTATGAAGAGTTATTATGGAGGGAATTGGGATAGGGAGCTGGGAGAGAACTATGTGAGGGCAAACAAGAGACATTAATAAAATTGTTGATGAGAGACTTGCAAAGGAGTTTTTGAATCCATTTGTACTTGTACTAGTTACTGATGTGCTTTTGGTGGCTCTGAGAGGCACTGAGAAGGATCCATACATGAGACCCACAATGAGGGACGTTATTAGGCGACTAGAAGATGCTATCTATGTAGACAGGGAAGAAAACTTCTTGGTAAAACATGGCTATCGTATGGATGAAGATTTGTATATGCTGATTTCTTCCCTATTTGATTGTAGAGATCTTTGGGAGTCTGACTCTAACATGTAAGGAGTGTATTGCTCCGGTTTAGCTTTTTCACCCCCAAATATGGAAACAAAATGTAGTAGAAATAAAGCATAATTGATGAATTAACCAGAGATATGACTTGGGTTGTAATCAATAAATCAACCAAGCTCTTGACTCTTGCTTAGGAGTTATTACTATAAAATAGATTGAATGAAATTGATTATACCTTTTCTTTTCAATATTATCTTTACAAGTTAATTTTTGTATTATTCATATTAGTAGAAAAAAAATTAAGGGGACTCATAATTTTGATTACACACAAAGAATCAAATTAATAAACTTCAAATAACCACTTCAAAGTAAATAGCGTTCCCACAATGTAAAAATGGTGCGCACAAGTTTGGTTGGATCATAATAGACACAAGGAACTGTAAGTTGCCAAGGTTGAGAAAAATGACACGCAACTTGGAACTATTGATTTTACAGAATAAACAATAGTACAGAGGAATCAACAAAATAATGCTTGTGCAATACTCTAGCCTCAACTACCTTATATACAACTCAGTTTATCTGTAGATAACACAGCACACCTGGAGTCATGTTTTCTCGCTAAATTTTACTTAGAAAGAAACATCATTCTTTCATAATCTTACATCAGACATGCCACTATCTAGTGACTTCAGGACTTAATCATTTATGCTTGCATACAGAATCAAGTTTCAATTTTCTCCAAGGGGAAGCTCAGCAACTTTTGCGGTGATCTTCTCATAAGGAAGCATAATTCTTCACCATTAAAATCTCACCACATAATTTTCGTGGTATTTGTTCCAACTTGTTCCCCTCTTGCCATGCTTGCCCTACTGAAACCCCTGGTCCTAGATGGCGGACATATATCACAACTTGATCGTTGAAAGGATAAGGATGCTTAACTGCAAATACAAAGCCAATGCAGTGAACACCCAGTTATCTCTTATGTTGCAAGAAAAAGAACTCGCAAAAAAAAAATTAGAAAAGAGCCTATAAGAAAATAATGCCACCAGCACAAGCTATACAGATACAAGACTTGGATATTACAAAGAAATTTTCTTCAACGATGTGGCTTTTTTAACATCTACACATCTATATCATGCATGGAACTTTACAACTTACTGGCTCCAAGTACAGCAATCTATAATCAGGATGGTCATGATACAATGCTAAGAATATACCACCTCCGTTTCAAATTATAAGATAAGTTTAGAAGTAAATCATTGCTTTAAAATATAAAACAATTTGACAAAAATAAGGTTTCATTAAATGCACTGGTCTAATATTACCATTCCTTCTTTTTTATTCTCTCATTCTCTTTAATCATTCACTATTATATTAAATGAAGGGTATTTTTAAAAATTTATATTTTTGTTTTGATAAAATAAGGTTGTTAGTAAATTTGATAAGCTTTATTGGTATGCATAATTTTATCTACATTTATCTTATAAATTGGGACTAAGGGAGTATTTTAGCAAAAAGCCTAACCAACATGTTCATGAGGATTAATAGAAAATGAATACTTTGAATATTATATATGAAATTGTTGGCATAAATATTAAGATTAACCATGCCGTGGATGTATGAACAAATAAAATGCATCCCCACCTGGTCTCGGAAAGCCCTGTGGGAGTTCTTTTATATCATACAGTCCATCTCCAAATTCGTATGCTAAATCACATGGCTGCTCAGTTGACATCACTTCATTGAGTTGTCTCACCGTAAAATACAAAGGAGCAAAAGAATCAGCAAATGCAGCCAAAGCTGGTCCACCTGGATTGTTCCAATATCCAAAAAAAAAAAAAAAAATATCACTAGCAGAGACAACTAAACTTAGGCTTAAAACTTAAGCAAAACCAAAGGTGTAGAAAACAAGATGAGCTAGACAAATGAGTCCCCCAAGATTCTTAATTAAACTTTTTTCGGGTAAAATAATATTATGACATAGAAAAGCATGCAATTTTTTAATTGAGGATAAACAATGAATATGATTTGACTTTTCTTCCTTCACATGATCGAGATAATGTCATATATCAATCCATTAAACCTTTATACAAAAAGGGAGTGCAAGTTTCTTTCACTCCCGTTCTTTTTATCTATCTTGAATAATTTTAAACAAGTCAGGCGCCACGTAGATATAAATATAGTGTTCCCACAGAAGTACACAATGATGGGCGATTATTTATTTACAGACCAAAGTAACCATTACTCGTCTTTATTTTTTATGTCTCTGATAAGAATTACAACAACCATGTGAATTAAATAGCACTCAAGGGAGTTGAATGGATAATATGAATCCAAGTCAAGTCAATTTACTGTACTTTTTTATTTGTCTAGTTACTTTATTGTATTATGCACTTTTTATGGGCTTACAAGAGATTGAATTAAATTATACATGGAAGTGGCGTTCGGGACCAAAAAAGAGTTAAGAAGCAACATATGCGTTAATACAGAATTAGAGATGCACTTATGTTCACTAAAAATAGTAATTGTGCAAGCACATGTATGCATCTTCCAGACAAGCACGTAAAGAATTTACCAATGAGTCGTCCATAGGCCTTCCCGTCCTTGCAAGAAAATATAGCCTAAAAGAGGAGCAAAGAATAAACCACAGCCTTCAAATAGACTTACAAGAGTGGAAAGCATATAGGGAACAGTGAATTACCTTTTTGAAGAACTTGATCCAGGAAATTAGCATTGGCCCTGTTCAAGAAGGTTTAATATTGAGATTAAAAAGAATTACAAAATTGATAGCCTTAGACTTTTAAGTTTAATGCATGCTAACAAAAGGTGAATACCCATGAAACTAAGACAAATATATTTATATATGGAGGGGTAAAAAAAAGACACATTGGACTTCTACAGCAGCAGGTGTGATAGAAGAGGAAGATATCAAAGAAGACAGATCAAAGAAGAAGTTGTAGAATTTAACATTTGAATATAAAGGAATTTATGATGACAACCACATCAAATGGGAAAAAGCTTTGCTCCAGTCAAGAGACACTGCTTGTGACCAAGAGAGGGTGAGAAAGAAGGACAATTTGGTCCTCTGATTTAATTGTAAGATCCATTAGCATTAGCAAACAAGAACACTATTCCATTAGTTACATTTCGTTTTCTAGGGGACTTTGTGTTTTTTCCTCTTTTCTCTTTTCTTTTTAAATTGGAATGAGGACTTGCCTGATGTATTATCTACTATACTCCCTCTGAAATTAATAATGCATTATCTAACATAATGCCTTCTATTCAACTTCATTATGACTAAATGCCAACAGCACAGCATTGTATGAATTTTAACTAACCTCCACTTGCACGGCAGTTAAAATATTCAAGCATCACGCCATTTTCATCAGCAATAAAAGTAGATGCACTTTTCTTTGCTAACTTGGAATCCACATATCGAGTACCAGCTATTTGCCAAGCCTTTGATATAAGTCTGCATAAATCTACCAAAGATATCAATTTATATACAAAAGACTAATACAAAGCATATATTCCACTTTCACATACATTATAGGAATAAAAATTACAAATAAGTGAGAGGGAGACCTAGGTTCTAACAAAAGCAGCAGTCGATGACGCCTTTCCTCAGGAATGTCTTCAATTTTTTTCCTGAACATGCAATGGTGCAGGTAAGAGAATATATGACAGCAAAACAGTTTTTCAAGATTCTAAAACTGCCAAACATATCATATTACTAAACCAACAAGATAGTCACATGAAACTCCTTTGACTTACTGGGAGTAGATGGATCAAGCTAAGTAAATATACGTCTAGTTCAGTTTAGCAAACTGGCATTGGCATGATCTGTTTTGGGATCATATCCACATACATAACTCATTGATGTCACTGAATGGAAAAATCACACAGCTCACGAACTCTATTTACTTATTGTTTAAATGCCCATAAGTGCGCCATAGTCATCTAATATTATGCAAGTGAACAAGTCAAGGGGAGCATAAACTATGCTGTATAACTGAAACTGATTAGCAGTACAGTTTAAATGATAAACCTTTGCTGTGGAACAAGATAGCGATTAGAAGATGAACTTCTACAATTTCATCTATATTTACTAATCCTATTATAAGCTCCAGTAAGTTACTGAAAAATGTGAAATAAGCTCTCAAACACTTTAAAAATTATAATCATCTTCCAAAGTACCAATTTCACTTCAGTAATGGACAAATAAAGTAAAATAGACGGCAACCTGATGACGTTAGCTTTTCAGTCTAGCCATGCAATGGTTGAGTTTATGGAAATATAGAATTGAATAAACAATTTAACATCAGCTATTTTGATTACCTCAAGCAAGAAGAATAATTATTTCAACTTGGTTGCAGTTCTAAGGTTCACAAGGACTTTATTATGCTAAAAACTTTACTCTCGAAGTTATTTCAGTTGGTTTAATCCTTGACAGCTGAAGATGTCATGTACGCTTGATTATGCTGATGTTTCCCATATTCAGAATATATATATATATATATATATGGGACAAACGTGTTTAGAACAAAGGAAATGACTGTAAATGAAGAAAGCCTCAGATGAATATCATGGCTTTGTCAAGCTTCTGTATTTAGAGAAACGAAGCCAGAGATAATGTCAAATAAATTCTTTAACAAGCAAGAAGAAACTTTATCATCCGCAAACGGAAACCCAAAACCAAAAAATATTCTTTAAACATAAACCATCTCCTTTCATGTAAAGGGGGAAAAAGTTAACAATAAATGAAAAACCAAGCATACTGACCAAAGATACGCAGCAGGATTATAAGAAGCTGGGTCCAAAGGAATCAACTCCTTAGGAGGATCAAGAAACGACACCACGTCTCGTTCATCTACGTAAGCCTTCCTACCACTTGGAAGAATTTCGAATGGCTTATCATCCCAAGGCGACACATAGTCTTCGTTACTTCTAGAGAGAGCGAGAGTTACACCACAAGTAGACTGTAGTTGAAGTCCATTCCTGTACAATCTTAAACCTACAAAAGAAAAAACTGAATTTTGTCCAGTTCACTTCTCAACAACTCGAACAAGTGACGTTGTATATTTTCACTCACCTCTGGATTGCGCAAACCCGACATGCCGGAAACTAATTTGGCGGGAAAATGGTGAGAGATTGGAAGGAGTAGTTGGATGGTGCTGTACGCAGCAACTTGTTGCCGTTGCTGCTGCCTCCATTTCTAACAGCGACGACGAGAATGGAAGCAAGATGTACTTGGAATTTTATTTTCACATAAGGCGATGTCGTTTAAATCCTCAAACGACATCAAATAATAATGTCGTTTCACCCAACAACCCACTTCTCTCCTCTCTACGCCTTTTTGGTCAAATTGCTTATCGTCATCGTCATCCTTGTCGTTGTTCCTCTCTGCAATCACCAGCTCATTTAAAAACTATACTAAACTGTTTCTCGTATAGTTTCTCCAATTATTGAATCATTTCTCGAATCCATACTGATACATCCAATTTATCCTGAAAGGGTTTTAGTTTCCACGAAATGCTGCTACAGACGCAATCTCTTGCGACGCATTTTGCACCTTCATTCACTGCCACAAAACCCTTAAAAGAAACCCAGATTAGTGCATTCAATTCTCCGAAACGAGTATGGTTTCCTAATTCTTCGTTTAAGACATTGAAATGCGCGCTTTCCACTTTATCAGAGCCATCCCAATTGGAATTGAAGAGTCATAAGCCGTTTCCTGCTGAAGTTTCAAGGACTATAATGGAGTTGGCCACTGTAGGTACTCTTTCTACGTTGAATCAAGAGGGTTGGCCTCTAGGTATCGGCGTACAATTCGCCGTTGACCCGGAAGGGACTCCTGTATTGTCCTTGAACGCCATCAACAAGAACTTCTCTTTTGACCCGAGGGCTAGCCTCCATGTTCAGGTGTATTCTTCTCTTCTCTCTTGCTCTGCACTGTGGGCTTTGTTTGTTTGGAATGAGAAGAATATATATATATATAGAGAGAGAGAGATATTCTTTATGTTGATGAGGGGGGAAAAGAAGACGACATTATTCACCTTTATTTTTGCCATATAGAATGTCTTTTTCTTCTACTTTTCTCCTTCAGTTTTCTTTCCTTCCATTCAAACACAGTCTATATGATTAAGCTATACGTCAGGATGATTTTATGAATTGCATTGTAATCAATTTCTTTTTCTGTTAATCAGTTAACACAGTCTGGGTTACGGACTCCCCAGTGTACCCTTCAAGGGACCCTTAACAAACCAGAGGATAGAGTCCTGATGAAGGTAATTTTTGTCGTATGGGAAACTTGTAGTTCACTTAGATACAGCAGCTATGAAGTTGAAAGATACATATTAGCAGTATTGTTCACGTTCTTCACTTAATGTTTGTTTTTATTTCTATAATTCGTAGTTATTTGCTTACTGCTTTTGTCTAGTTCTAACTGAGATATTCTGTATATCTATCAGACTCAAGCGGCTGAACTAATTTGCTAAACTTGACCATATATTGTGGATCTCTCTGGCTTTTTTGTTAGTAATATACTCCAATGCCGTTTCCTTTGGCACTGTTTAGTTAAAAGATCAATTCATTGGGGTTCAATCTCAATTTATTTGATTCTCTAGTCATATTGTTTGACATTAACTGCCATTATGCAGCGGCTTCTTTCTTTATGGAAGAGGAGGTTTGGTGAAGATGTTAATGAAGATTTGGTTTACATTGTTGCAGTGGAGAAAGTCCTGCAGATGGAAGACTTCCAGGAGGTGTGACAGTTTTTATATTTTCTCATGTTTTGAGAATGGTTGTTTTCTTAAATTCAAGTATGCTGCTTTTTGTTGCTGTATTATTCATTAATATTGAGAGTTAGATTCTTGTCTAACAATAAATCCTATGTCAATGTTTTCCAGGATGGTGAATGGGTGACATCGTCAGAATATAAAAATGCACAACCTGATCCTCTTCGAGATTGCGCAGAGAAGTTAGTGGATGAAATCAACACGAACAACATGGAAGATATTACTCGTTTTTGCAATGTCTATGTTGATTTGGATTTTCAGGTTAGCTTTGAAGCTTGTATATGCGTTATAATTGCATGTTGCAATCCAAGTTTAGCGATTAGGTGTATGTCACTGATCTAAGCACTTTTTACCTCCCATAGAGACAGCTTATTACTTTTACGATGCAGTCATTGACTTTAATTCCACACTTAATGTTTCTACTTGGGATTTGTTTTGCTAAACGTTTGCATTGAAAGACCTTTGATGCCCATTTGATTAATTTGCAAGAAAAAAGAATGATTTTCATTGGACTGAAAATGGGATATACAATCCTTCTATCTATGTTGTTATTACTTAACTAGATGTGGCTCTCATCTCTTAGATATTTCATGGACTCTTATGGTTTATAAACAGTGGGGCTTCCCATAAATTTTATATTATATATTGATGATTGTAACTATTATTTTCATTGCCTTTTTTATTCAATGGAACAAAAATTTTCTATTGGCAAAATTACTTTTTATATCTTTTTTTTCCGTTTGCCCTATTTCATTTTGCATACCAAATGATCTGTTGGAGTTTGAGGAAAGTGTGTACAGGAAGTATAGGTCACCTTTATGATTCAGAAGAAGATTGGTGATCACCAAACTAACTGTGTTCTCTTACCATATTTGCTTCACAAGGTCTCAGAAGCAAAGATGATATGGGTTGACCGATTGGGCTTTGACATGCGTCTCAGCTCTCCCGAGAAATGTGTATTCGAGGCGCGCATTCCTTTCTCCAGAGAAGTCAATGATGAAAAGGGTGCCAAGTCAACATTCAATTGTATGTCACAAATGGCTTGGGAGGTGGAAAAAAACTTTCATGCTCCATATTTTGAGAAGGTGAAACATTTGAAGCACATAAAGTCCTGATGCTTAACTTTATGTTTTTTATTTTCATCACCCATTCTTAAATCCTTTATCAAGTACCCACGCTTGGTAAAGCTGTAATCTTCCAAGACCGTTTTGGTGTTTATTGTGTGATGATTATTTTTGGTTTGATGCTTAGTTGATCATGGCTGGCTACTAAACCCAATCTAGTTTGCACTTGTATTTTTTGGTGATTGTCTTATAGTCAGTTAAATTTTTCTTGTGAACTTTCTTTTCTGATTGGATTCAGAAGAAAAATGACGAAACGGATACGTGCTGTATGAATGGAGAGATGCCATTTTTGTGTGCGGGGAGATATGAACTGTATGAGGGGGGACTAGCAGTTCTGAACTTTTGATTCTTGTATCCCCAACTATATGAATAAAATCTCAGCTTGGCCTCTTGTCACTCAGATATTTCTGAATTTGTTTAGTATTCATAATGTGATTCTATCAAAGAAATCTATTGTTTGAGAGACTATTAATGATAATCAATAGTAATTTTATTTTTTGAAGAATTATACACACACGAGGGGTTATGTTGGATTGAAAAAATAGTTTTATAAAGGATTAAATTAAATGATGTTTTGTCAGATGGAATTACTGGAAAAAATAATTTTATAAAACAATTATGTAGAGTAGTTTTCCAGAATAAGTTTTGGAAAAAATGGAAAAAAAAAGTGTTTGAATTATTATTTTGTAACACATATCTAAATTGATGAAATAAAAGGTAAAAGAATAATTCATTTTATTAACATAATTATCATTAATGAAAACATGATATTTTTTTTCTTTTCTCTATTTTTACATAACAAAAATTAATAAAGTACTTAAAAAACGTTTTGGCTTTTTAGCTTTTCAGAATAATTTTTAACTTTTTATTTTTCAGAATAACAAAAAACTATGTTTTCAAATAACTTTCTGAAAAAATTTTAGGTGGGAACCCTTGATCCAAGATAATGAAAAAGAGGACCTTAAAATTTTTAAATTTTTACTGAAAAATCTGTACATAATTTCTTTTGAATTTTTGATGGAAATGAAAATATTATCTTTATTAAAATGAACAACATAAACAATTTATTCATTTTTATGCTTTATATTATTTATTTACTTGTTGAATGTTATTCGTTTTCTTATTTTACTTATTTATAACTATATTTTCACTTAATTTTATTTCAATGGTCATAAGTGAAGTAAGAAAACAAACAATATTCTTTAAATAAATGAACAGCATACAGTATGAGAATGAATAATTCATCTTATCATAAAATCAATAGTTGAAATAAAATCAAGCGAAACTAGAGCTATAAATAAATGAAGCAGGAAAACCAACAATATTTTGTAAGTAAATAAATAATATATAATATAAAAATGAATGATTCAATTATATTATTTATTTAAATGAAGATAATTTTGACATTTTTGTCATAAATTCAAAAGAAATTTTGTTTGGGTCTTTCAATAAAATTTATTTGGTGTCTTTTTTTTCATTATCTTAAGTTCAGGGTCTCCACCTAAAAATTTCCCCAACTTTTTTTTTTTTTTTTGTTTTTTTTTTTTTGGTTTTTTTGTAAAAGGATGTAATCAACACGCCATGTGATTCTTTTGTCCTTTTAACCCGCGGAAGTGACCAACTTCAATGCTTACTTGACCCGGTCAACATATTTTTCTGTCTTTTTTGTTTTTATTTTGGTCAAAATATTGTTTCTCTTGTCAAACAGTGGAAAAGCTGTTGAACGAACCAATTGGAAAAGGGAAGAGACACAACCCCAAAAACAGAAGATTCATTAATAAAACATAGCACGATTTTGTTTATCTATCTATATATATATATATATATATATTATATGTAAGTATGTATGCATTTGGACTATTTATTTTGTCAAGTGCATAAAAATTGTTTCCTTTTATTTCATTTATTGCTAAAAATAATAATAATAATAAAATTCTTTTAAAATATATAAATAATAATTTGATTCTTCAAAATATTATAATTCCTTTAAAATTTTTAGTGACTTTTTTGTCATCAATAAATTTATATAAATTATTAAATTATCTTCATTAAAAATAAATAATTTATAAGTTTTATTTAAATATTCACAATTTTTTCTCTTATATTCACAATAATGTAACAACAAATTATAACTTCACATGTCAAATTTCTTATTTATTGTTATATTGTTACAAATATAAAAAAAAAGTTGTCAATATTTAAACAAAACTTGTAAGTCATTTATTTTTAACAAGGACAACTTGATAATTTATATAAATTTATTAAATGATAGAAAAGTTTTTGAAAATTTCAGAAGAATTATAACATTTTAAAAAAATTAAATTATTATTTATATATTTCAGAGAAATTTTATTATTGTTTTTAAAAAAAATATAAGAGAAATATTTATCTTTTAATAACAACACACACGCACACATATTCCAGCCTTGTAAGTAATTTATGTGTGTGTATGCTAAGAGAGCTTCCCCAATTAAGCCCAACTTGCATTGTATTTTAATATATCAGTTAATATGTTATATTATTTTTTTATTTACTTCTTATTCAAGAAGAAGAAGAAGGAGGAGAAGAAGCGTTGAAGGGTGAGAATAGCAGCTAAGGTTAGCTTAGCAGAACAACCCACTGACACTCAGAAAGTGCATCATCAGTTAAGAGTTCATCGTCACGACGTAACTTCTCTAACTAGTTTTGCATATTTTACACAAACAGAGTAGCCCACTGCATTTAAACTTCCCTTCAAAGATAACACCCAACGCGTTTAAATAATAAGGAAGTTGCATCAATTTAATCAAAGGTTTTTTAAATTTAAGTTCGGAGAATTCAGTAGAGGAGGTGATAGAACTTCCACCTAAAAAGTTCTTGTCCCAACTTGATTCAAATTAGTCTGGACCCTTGTTAAGTCCCTTCAACTTGATATGAGGCAGGCTTAAGATATCCGATATCCCACAGAAAATTAAAAAAACTTCCCTTCCCTTCAAAGATAAGCCCTCCTTCCTAGTCTTCTCTAACTTTTCCCCCACTTTCTTTCTTTCTTTCTTTTTCTTATGACTTTTTCTTACTTTTCTTTTCTTAAATCAAAGGTTATGTGACAATGCCATACAAGAGAGAAACAAGAGCTAAACTTTAACTACACAAATCATGAGTTAAAAAAGGTTTACAATTAACAGGAGCTTCCTAAGAATCATGTAATCTGCCTCCATTCCACTTTGGAAGTCAGTTATTTTCCCACTTTCTAAATATGCTACTCACCACATTCATATTCCTAAGTAAATTGAAATTGGCATACCCAGTAATGATTTTACAATTACACAGTAGTAGCTAGAGTGAACAATTGAGCACTCATTTTTTTTATTTTACTTATAAACTGTACTTGCTTCATGCTTCCATACTTGCTCATCTTCAGCTCAAACAAGGACCAAAGCATCTTCTCCAAATTCGGCTCTGTGTACTTTATACTCTTTACGGCTTTTTCATCGTTCTCCATTGTTAAACTGTAGTTCTTCATGAAGCTTCTATAGCTTGGCACAATCCCTTCAACTATTTGCTTCCTCAATTTCTCCCTCAAGGTTTCATCAGATATTACCCAACTTGATTGCCTTTTACACATTTCATCAAATGCCACATTGAAAGCGTTCAGTCTCTTAGGCGTATCAGAGGATGAAACTGAAACTGAAAGTAAATCCTTTTTATTAAGAATAGGTAAAAGCTTTCCCCATGTATCTTTCAGATAAAGAGCAGCATAATAGTCTTTATATTGCTCATGTGCTTTTAACCATGAATCTCCCATCATGTTCCCAAGCATAGTGTCCCTCAAGTTGTGGAGATGGCAATGATTATTCATCATGAAGAGGTAAGATAAGGTGATATCTTCATAGGACTTGGACCATGAGTCTAAATTAACTGCAATCTCCTTGACTATGCTAAAAACTTGGGTGAATATGATGCTCTCTTCATATGCTTCATTTCTCCAACTTAGATGAATTTCGAGAACCTGTGTCAGAAGTGGCCTGTAAGTATCTCCAAGTAGCTCGTTGCAGTAATCAGTGACGAAACTTACGAGTCGAGGAACACTGCCATCAGAGGGAGGAGAACTTGGCCTCTGCAACTTCACTTGTGCAGGAAGCTGCCAGAATATCTCACAAGCACCATTAATGACTCTGCGGATAAGATCCTTTGTCACATTTCTGATTTCTTCACAAGCATCCCCACTGAAAAGCTGGTTAAATTTTAGTCTTAGATCATTCAAGACACTGAAAATCTCCAGCAGCTTCAACAACTTGATAGGGTCAGTTTTGCTCCCAGTGACATTTATTCCAAATTGAAGGAAAGAAACAATTTTTGACTTGATGGCAATCTTAGCAAAACATCCCTTCCATGCTTCTGCGCCTATTTTCTCGAAGATTTTACTGGAGAACCTGCACTCCATCTCAAGCAGGTGATTTGCTACCAACGTCAGATGCCTTCCCCATTGTTCTATGTAACTCTCTATGCTATGAATATCCTCAAATTTAGCTCTTGGAATCTCCAGATAGCTCAAATCTAAAGCCTGCAAGCTTCTTCGAGCGTTCATTCCTCGAACTTCAACATATATTGATTTACACTTGTCTAGCCTGCCATTAGCTTGTAGTCTCTCTATAATGGCCTGTAATTTCCCAGTGAGAGAATCTGGCAAAGCTGGAATGGTTGCTTGCTGGTTAATGGATGATGTCAACGGAGACAAAGGCAGAGGAACTGAGTTTGCTATCAGAAGCCTCTTGAACTCAATCTCTAATTTGTCAAAAGCTGTACTGAGAAGGCCTCCATTAAGGCGAGCACCTTCCTCCATAGCCTGCAATTCTTGTAATATTCTCAGAGATTTTTTCACATTTAATAAGCAAATCTCATTAGAGATGACAGCCTTGTCTTGCAACAACTCAAAAATTTCCTGCAACCACCCTTCTGCTAGCATGCAATTATCAGTGAGAAGCTTGAGGGCTTCTTCAAGCTTCTTTGTATCTGAGATGTAAGTACAAAGATCAGAACTGGGGTCAGTCAGGAGTGAATTTTCTAGAGGATGAATTGCATCAAACACCTTGAGGACAGCAGCAGCAGAACATAGAACACCGTTAATCCGGCTTCCAATATCAAGACATGACAAGTTTTCTGCAGAGATAGGTCTGAGTGAAGCCTCCAAGAATTGGCATTTTTGGGTAAGTATCTTCAATCTTGAACCAGAATCATCCAATGCAGAAGCAATAGCAGCTGAAATTTCTAAGCTAGATTTCAAGTACTGTCTGGTAGCTTCAATACTATCCATATTTTCTATATCAGCTACAGGCGGAAAAACAAGATGGTAATCTCAAAATGTTGCCACAGCTAGCAATCATTGCTAGTCGGGATTTTAATTGCATTCATACTGGAACACAAAGTTTGGTCAAAGTAAAAAAAAGATTACCTTTGTTGGTCTCTTCTGCAATGTCCATTTACTTTCCTTTCACCAAACTCAACCAACAAATTAAAACAAAGGAAGAGGATCAATCTTCAAACCAAATTTCACTTGCAAAAGAAACTTCTCAGAGACTTCCTCAACCACCAGGAGGTGTATCTTCCTTGAATTGGTGTAACGTTACTCAACTAATTTTTCCAGCCATTCATTTATGCAGACTTTTAGTGTTTACCTTGAAGACTTAAGACCTGTGACTTGTGGAGTCGTGAAGCGGGCGCAACGGTCTGAAACGATTAATTCTCCCAGCGAGAAGCATTGAATTATCGCTTTCAAGTTAAACAAACGAGAGTGCGTATTAAACAAGATGAAGAAATCTTTACAATTTCACGCCCATGGATGGACTTAGCTTTACCTACTATGGGTCGAGTTTATCAGCATGATTTATCAAAGTCTTGTTCATTTGAATCAAATCATTGTCTTCTAAAAATCAAATCATTGATTGATAGGAAGAATTACCGTGTAAGTCTCAAAAAAAAAAAAGGAAAAGTAATTACAATTAAATTCCAGACAAAATTTTTCAAGCAATAAATTGTAAATATTGATTCAATCGATTACAAACATAAGTTCTAATTGTAAAATGAAAGTTAACTTATTTCTAATTAAAACCCTTATATTTGTAAATATTTAAATCAATATTTATTATTTATTTTTTAAATTTTTTTATTAAATATCTAATTATCATTAATTTTCTCTTTTAAAATTTAACTCTCATTCTCCGTAAAAATATCATCATGGATGTCACTTTGTTCTTTCCGTTGGATTATAAATGTTCAGCTTTAACCAAGGGAAACCCAGGAAAGAGAATCGTAGAATGATGAATGCAGGAAACTCGCATGAAAAGGCGTGAATAAAAAAATTGTCAATTTGCTCGATACAAAACCGTTACCTGTGTTTGGTCGAAGAGTTTTGGAAGGAAGGGAAGGTAAGTTTTTACTTTTGAATAAATTCATTTTAAAAAGATAGATAAGTGGAGTTATGAAATTTTAACAAAGAGATGTAAATTATAAGAGAAAAAAATTGATTAAAATTTTTTTGCCCAACTTCTCCATCTTTTTAAAATCGAAGTAATTATAATCTCTCTGCCCCACCACTCCAACCAAAAAGACTAATAATATAATAGCTTTGGATATAATAATAAAGTCATACTGATCACCTGGATTCAACATCATAATCCTGCTAAATTTTGCAGGCTTCGGGAGTGCCTTACCCAGAGAGATAGATAATAGAGATAATAAAATGAAATCACAGGGGCAAAAAAAAAAATATATATTATTTAACACCTAATTGGCACAAATCTCTGTTGGGAATAACAAGAACATTAAGCTTCATCATCCGGAAACACAAGTCAATTTATATATGGCCAGAACAGACGGTAATTTGATAGATTGATGATAGTAAATATAGGGTGTCTTGTCCACCCTGTGTGTAGTAAAGGAACATGCATTAAACAACAAAAAAAGATTTTCCTGCAGTACCGTCATCAAAGAATACAGACAAAATTGGAACTAAGGTAAGTTCTGAAACAAGAACATCTACCAATAACAAAAGCCACAAGAATCTAAATATGAAATCCAAGGCTTGATGTTAAGCTGCCACCAGTAACTACACAAACTTGACATAGAACTACATGCTGCGTGCAGAGAAGCTTTCAGAATGTGATCCAATCAAGCACCTCCCTTCTGTTTCAAAGTTATCTTATCCCCTAGACTGAGGGCAATTCCCTGAGTTTTACTTCTTATTCTGATGTATCCACTCAACTTACCATCTGTTTGCTTCTCAATGCTCACATTCACTAAAGCATCCTCCCCAAAAACACTCTTGGCATAAAGGTTTGCAGCTAGGAAACCACAATCCCCTTCTAATGCCGATCTGAAACCCGACACAGCAGCACAAAACAGAAAGAGCACAACTGAATCAGTTAATCACAATGCGTGGGTCTTCAACACCAATTGTCCAGTTCCATAATTGCCAATTTCAGATAGAGAAAAACTTATATAATTAACCTTGTATATTTAACTAGCTTGTTTCCAATTAAATAAAAACGTGTATTTTTCATATATTATTTATTCCATGACAAACTCTTGTTATTAATATTATTAACACATTAAAACCTACTTGTTTTGATTTGATTGGATAAAAGTATATTAAACATATAAGATTAAATACCTAAATATTGTTCTTTGAGATATATCATTTCATTTTGATAGGATGGGGGAAATATGGAATACTGCAGTGGAACCTAATTACAGTTTTTAAATCCATGTTGCAGATGCTCAGACATATATAAGATAACAGCTACCAGAAATTTTTTGTATGTTCCCAGGTCAAAAAGAATAGATAATAGAGTTTAAAAAAATTAAAAAAGAGTCATTATTAGAATCTTGAGAAGAAAGTTTGAGAACATACGGTGGAGTCAGGCACTTCATATTCGTCGACTTGATGATGTGGTTCAGGAACTCTCTTTCATCTTGTATTACAGTATTTACAGCAACCTAGAAACATGAATTGACGTTAATACGAAAGCTTGTTGCAATAATCAGATTATTACCCAGATACCCGTAGATTGCAGAGACAAATGCCCTGAAGGTTAATATGTGAGGAAGAACCTATATCAACGCATTATTGCTTAACCATAGAAATAAATTTTTATATATTAACTTCTTGAATTATCAAGCTTCTGTTACAAACAACTACAGTAGACAACCACCAAACAAAAATAAAACAGAAGATCCGGTATGCAATCCTAACCCCAATGGAGTACAAATTTACCAAGACCTACTTCCCCACTCACTAAAAAAGAGTAATGATAACAGAATATAGATAAACTCATTATGCTCAGGCTAACATTCATATCACTAGAAAAAAAACCCAATCAAAAGTCAAAACAACCAACCACTGATAAGAAATAATAATCAAAAGTCAAATCTCTCATCTGTATTATCAAGGTAGAAAACCAGCAAAGAAAATGTAATTTAATTCATCCAAACTACAACTACAGCAACGGCAAGGAGCAAAAGTATGAAATCTCAATGCCATTTATTCCATTATCTCAACCATCAAGATACCATCATCAATTGCATATGACACAGAAAAAGTAATTTAAGGAAACAAATCTCATGTATCATATCCTAGCACTCAATACCTGCTAGAGCAAATTATGCAGATAATGAACTTTATTTATTTAATAGTATTTTGATTTTATGAGATTTATAATCTAAAAAGTTTTGCTTTATTTTATTTTGGGATAAGGTTAAATATCATTATCCAATGAGTTTCCTATAAATGCTGCATCAACACATACTTGATTACAATACCACCAAGGAATACGTGATCATTGCAAGGATTGATTTGTGAGCCTTTTTATTTATCTGTAACGAAGGCATGAGCAATAAACAAGTAGCTCTATAGATATCAATTGCCACTGAATAAGAGATAAAGGGAGGATATACCTTGTTTTCCCATTCAAACTCAGCCCACATGGTTCTAAATGCCACATCAGCACAAGATGCAGGGGATATGTAGTCCATTATATCAATATGTATGTCATTGAGCACTATAACTGTTCTCTCAAGCACATTCGAAGATGTTTCATAGACTATGTTACCAAATATAACCCCTGTTTCTGTGGAAGACACCTTGATATTGGCCTTAATCTGTTTGCTTGACTCTGGAGCTAGTGTATAATTTTGAGGGCGCTCAACAAGTTTGAGATCACCCATGGTAGCCAACTCCAAACACAAATTCTGAAGGGTCTCCTTGGTTCGATTGATGACTGTAACATCAAGAACAATGTCATAGTGGTGTACTGTTACGTAAGCCTCAGCATAAACTGGATCACTAAATCCAGTAAGCTGAAGAATGCGGTTGAGCTTATTTGCATCATCACCATCCTTGGTGAACTCTCCAGTGGCACGCTTGAGATCATCATGAACCTCATCTTCAAGCTCAAGTTGACTCATACCCTATATTGGATAAAAAGAAACTAGTCAACAAAGCTTGAATATTCAAAGAAAGAAAAACACAGATACAGTGCTGAACACTAACTGCAGGTTTAAGTTCAGTACAAACATAGGTTGAAAGAAACAGATACACTTGATCGGCAGAAAAGTAAAAGAGTGATTTATAGATGGAAAAGAAGAGTTACAAAATTATGGTGTAAAGGGATTTCATCATCCATGACATTCAACAATGGATCAGACATCAGGACTTCACATCAGCATAAATGTGATACTCTTCAAAAATTATTTATGAGGAAACCATCAGAAATGAAAATTTCAGAGCATATAATTAGGGGCAATAATTCAATCATATGCACTTTAAAGAGTACAAAATTATTGCCAACATACCTTCCTGCTCTTCAAATGGTAAAAATCAATAAGATCATCAGGCTGTGCATTAGTTATTTGAGCCTTTGCTTTAATCTCCTCAGTTTCACGATGCTGTTTGTCAGCAAGCATTTTAACAAAGTTCTGTCTGCATGACTGCAGCCATATCTTCCTTACATCATCTCCCGTATTACAAAGCAATCTAATGCAAAGGACAATCCTGTCATAAGAATCATCATCAATTGGATGTGGAAGAATTGACGACTGGCCCAGCTGCAGCATTGAAACCATGATCAACAAGGCCTGCATAGTTGCTCTGTTAACTTCAACTTTTGAAGTTTGAACCTCTTCCAACCTTAAGACAAGTTTTGTGAGTGTACATGCGATAACTGCCCCAAGAAAGAAATCTCCTGACAGAATCAGTGATCTCAAGTTCCCAATGAAAGTCAATGATCCCTGCACAAGGGTAGGTGGTGACATAGCAGTTTCCAGAGCAGCGCTTTGGGTGGCATAGGTCCCATCAGCAAGAATAGCAGGCCTCCTAGAAGACATGGACACAGAGGTTGAGCTCAACTGTTGCGTGGTTTTTGCTGTGTCTTGGACCTCTCCTTCCTCAGTGGGCGTATAAAATGGCAGGTCCCCAAGACACTGCTTAATAGTTGCAATTCCACTTTCAACTTCTGAAAGTGAGAGGCAGTATTCACCAATTATCCATAGAGCACATGAACACACCCTTGCAGCGCGAATTTGATAGAAAGTATCCAACAGCCTGGTGATTATTGAAATACGTAATTTTGGATTTGTTTCAATGATCTCACGCACGAAAACAACAACATCCATGGCTGAAGCCACATTACTATCTCCCAAGAAATCCATCAACAGGTGCACAACAGTGCTAGCAACCTCTGGGAATTTAATAGCACAAGAATGTATAGCTTGCACCAGCATCTGCCTATACTCACCATTCTTCTCATGCTCCCCACTCTGCGTCTTCATAACTTCTTTCTTTAGCATCATAACAACCTCATCAACGTTCCTAGGAGTTATCAAGTCCAAAACAATATCAATCGTCTTCCTCCTAATATCAAGATTTGGACTTGAAAGCGCTCTAAGAACATCCATAACCATTTCCACCATAATCTCCCTATTTGAAGTTTTCAGTTCATTGAGCCTATCAAGTACGATAAGTTTAACATTATTATCACTTTGAGAAAGCAAAAGTTGACAATAAGTACTAGCTGCAGCTCTAATAGCAGTAGGGGCAGAGGAGAGTGACACCAGGGTGCTGGCACATTCATAAATGACAGCAGTGGATGGAGCATTCAACAAAGATATGATAATCTTTATATATTTTCCCTTCTCACCTTTATTCGACCTACAGACCTTCCTAATCAGCTCCAAGACAACCATTTGAAGTTGCTCACCCCAATCATTGATTCTATCAATATTGGTAAAAAGGTAACTAACCGCGCGGTCCTGAGCACAATTAAAGAGCATAAGGAAAGCGTTTCGCTTACTGGAAGGATCCTGCTCTGAGGACAAGAACTTCTCGATAATTTCCGGAGCACTATCGAGCAATTGCTCACCTTGGGGAAGCTTGTAGACGGACATGACAGCCAGCACGGCATTTCTTCGAACAAAAGGATGGCGATGCTCCAAATTGGTCAGAATCGAAGGGATTAACGGCTCAATGATCTCGGTCTCGTTTAATCGACAAAGGAACCGCAATGTGACCCCGCGAATGTACTCATTGGGATGCTGCAGATTGTTGCGAAGGTTCTGGCAAATTAAAATCATCTCAGGAAGAACCTTACCCCTCGAATCGGTTTTCTCAATGATCTCCAAATAGAGAAGAGAAGTTTCTGAACGGTGTGGTCTTCGGAAGGAAGCACATAGCGGATGATGGTGATGAAAAGTTGGGGAATAGTCTCGCCATTGAGCAAAAGCATGATAGCCTTCTTCAAAGCGTCAACCTTGGCGGGGACATCATTTCCTTCGAGAGCTTCTTTGATCTCGTTGGCTAGTGCTGGGGTGCCCTTGTCGAAGTGAACGAGTAGAGTGCAAGACTTGTCCATTGTCCACGAGATTTGGATCTGAGAATTCAGAAACCTTGCTGCGTCAGATCTGAAATCAGAGCTTGGGAAGCAATGAGAATTTGGAATCTCTGGAGCACGATCTGCCTCGTGCTTGCCAATACGGAATTGGATCAGAAAGGGAGAGAAGCGAGAGAGAGCGAGCAGATCTGTGAGTTCATGGCATCGTTCCTTGTCTGAAACTAAGAAGAAGAAATGAAAAGAAATTACAAAAATAAATAAATAAATAAGGGGAAAAAAAAAGTTTTGCTAGGGAGGTTGATGGGCCGATTCGAATCCGGTCGAGTTTTCCGGGTGACTTTAAGTATCACTATTCTAAGTCCAATTGGGCCTCAAATGAACAGTAGGTCAAGCTTAGAAAAATATATATATATATGGATTAAAATACAATATAATCTTAATTATTTTCTAATATAATCTAAAATTGTAGTGTGTGCGTGTGTGTGTGTGTTGGCAATATCTGTGTGTGCGCGCGTGTAAACTGCCTAAAATCTCTATGTGACTTATGAATAGCTTAGTGATTTGAAATATTTCATTGGCAATTTGGTATCACATTTCGCGCTTCAATGTTTCATTATTTGGTGACATAATTAAAAAAACATACAACAATCTAAATTGAAATATAGGGGAGTTAAAAAAAAAAAACATTATTTCTTATGGCTAGTTTTTTTTCCTGAGAAATCACAAGATTGATAGTTGCCAAACAAAAGCAACCGACTCACACACGCATACGCGTAGAATAAAACCACTGTAATTTTACTGTTACATATTTATATATTGATCATCATCATCTAGGTCAGTTTTTTTAACAGCATGCAAGAAAACTGAACTAGTTATAAATGGTCTAAATGTAACCAGCAAATTAGCAGTTACAACACATGATGCAGAATGGCAAATCCACCTAGTTGGCAAAAGTAAAGTGGATCTTTTTATTTACACCATCCAATTTGATAGAAAAAGCCACAGAATGCGAGCTTTCATCATTGCTGCAGCACAACACAAGCTTCCTTTGAGACGGGCAGCTGATTATAACAATCAAACAGAGTCATCAGATTCATCAGAGTCACTCCTGTCAGGCTCCCCAGCATTTGTAACAGTCTGGGGAGCATCATCTTTTGCAACAGGTGCTGCCGCCGCCGCCTTCTTATTAGTGCCTCGACCATTCTCTTCCCCTTCTTCCTCTTGCTCAGCTGCTTCCACATGTGAATCTCAGTAAAGGAAACAATCCCCAAAAAAAAAAAAGAAAAAAATCATCAAATCATAACTATAAATAACAAACTCAATTTTCATTTCAGGGCTGGCCGTGTAACATCACAACAACTCCCTAGCATGTCTTCTTTCTTGATCTTTTGGTCATGTTCTCCCCAAATGCATGAGAGAAAAAAAAAAATAGGCCTATTTTGTATGCATCAGGAGGGACAGAGCCAATAGGTCAGGAGGGAAAAAAACTGAACCTACTACAAAGCCCCAGGCTTTTGTAATTGATGTAGAGAGCTACTCTAGTTCATTCCGTCAACATGTCAAAAGCACTTCTCCTTTACCCTTTTAACAAAAAGAAAAGTTGAGCTCAAAAATAAGCGAGCTGCTATAAAACCACCTTTCTTTTAAATCACATGACCATTGGCATAACAAACTATTCCCATTTTCACGCAAAATGTAGACTAAATAAAATGTGGACTCGTGAGTTTGCATTAAGAGCTGGAATAAGACTTTTGTTCAGCTGAACAAAAATTGACTTTAACAACCAACAAGGATATCAACATTGCCCGCTGTTCCTCCAGCCATGATATTCAGAAGGTCTTTCTCAACCCGTGATACAAACTCAGGCTGCAACATGTAAAAAGAAAAAATCATAAGATCAGAAAAGAAAGATAAGCAAAATCCTTTTACCTTTTAATCCCAAAATTATGAATGCTAGATCAGGAAATATATTTATGTAATAAGTGATGTGAGAATATTATTATTATTACATTTAGATCTGGTTCTCTTCGAAATCTACGCTTGCGGGCATCTCTCATGGGTGGGGTGAGACCATGTCTGTACTCGATCACATCTGGAGCAGCATCACCAGGTTCTCTAACCATAATCATCTGTTTCAACCCAAGATATTCATCTAGCATGATTACACTTGAATAGTTGAATCGATATTAACATTCTTAAAGGAAAAATTACCTGACCAATATCAGCGGTCTTAATCAAGCAACTATCATCATATGTTTTGTAGGATTCCACCACACAAGGAAGGTCCAAGAGAGATGCTGGGAAATGATCATCCCCAATGGCAAATGTACCACTCCTCCCATCCTCTGTTGAATGGAAAGAAGAAACGTGAGAATAAAGAGAGATTATACTTTACAAATGCAAACAAATAGAGAGCTATGCATTCAACATATCAAGAACAAAATAGAAATCGAAGTGTGGAACAGCAATACCAATAACTGAGGTTTAGATTCCTAATTATTGTGTATAGGGGATATCAATCCAATATAGTAACACATGAGCAGTAAAACAATGGTTGGTTTTAAGTTGGTTTCTATCTAACGAGTGGATGTGTCACAATCAGGAGTACTCAGATTAACTTATACAAATTCCTATTAATTTAGCATGAAAGCGTAATGTACGTTAAACTTGCACAAGATTGATGTCATGAATGTTAATCACACATTGGCAAGTTAACTTGCACAAGTTAATTAGATTGACATCTTATACCAAAAAGATCAAATTGTAGGATTAGACCATGGATTGCTAGACCTTTGATGACAAATAAAGGTAGAACAACTATTCAAACATGAATAACAAAAGTCATAAGTTGCAAAAGTCACAAACCTCGTGCATTAACACAACCCATAAGAAATCAAAATGACAAAATCCATGCATTAAACAAATCATAATTCATAAAAGTCACAACTCACAATATATATATATATATATAATTAATAACATTTAACTAAACTTAAAACATGCTCTATAATCAAGTCCATCAATTTCATCCTCATCGTCCATGATTCCATTGTCACCTTCACCACCATCAATAGCAACAAGGCATATGGGCAAAGGCATGAATTCCATGGAATTGGACAAATTCCTTAGGTACATCTATGGAATCCAATTCAGGCTTTTTTGGCGGAATTGGATTCCTTGAGAATCACAATTCTAGACCAAACATGCTCAAGGTCAAAATCCATTTCCAATTATGATTCCATATTAGGGATTCAAAGCTACCAATCGAGTGCATGAAGGATCTACCACATCACACCAATATTCCAATCCAGCCTCAAATCCTCAACTTAATGATCTTGGATGGCCTATCACGTTGAGAAAAGGAGCAAGATCCCATACCAAACATCCTATTGGGAATTTTACGAAAAATGATCATCTACATTGAAAGCTTTCACAGCCAAAATTTCAGCAGAACAAGTTCTCAACGATATAGAGGAAGATATGAAAATTCTTGCATGGAGAGCTGCAATTGATGAATAATGACAGTTTGACTAACGGCAGTTTGAACAAACAAAATGCATGGTTGGTGGCAAGCAGATTCATCCAAACCTATAGAATTAACTATCAAGATACCTTTGCACCTGTGGCAGAATTTAACATCATCAAGATATTGCTTTCTTAGCTGCAAATCTTGACTAGCCGTTATATCAAATAGATGTGAAGAATGCATTCCTAAATGAAAAATTAGAAGTTTACATGGAAATTCTCCCTGGATTCAAGAATAGGAGAAAACAAGAATAAGGTGTGAAGGCTATGGAAATCACTATATGGCATCAAAACAGGCTCCTCATGCATGGTTTGAATGATTTTCCAAAGATGTACAAGGGTGCGGGTACTTTCAATGTTAGTCAAATCACACTCTACTCATAAATCACAATGATGGAAGGAAGGCTATCTTAATAGTCTATGTCAACGATATCATCATTACCGAAGACAATCTCAACAAAATTGAACACCTCAAGAAATTACTTGCAACTGAGTTTGAGGTAAAGGACCTTGGGTCCTTAAGACACTTCCTAGGTTTGGAAGTAGCACGGTCAAAGAGTGGGATTCTTGTGTCACAACACAAATATACGCTTGATCTTCTTCAGGAAAGAGGGATGCTAGGTCATAGGCTAGCTGCTACATCCATGAAGTTAAATCACAAATTAGGAGTGAGAGAAGACTGCCCTCTAGTGGACAAAGAAAGATAACAACGTCCAGTTGGGAAACTGATATACTTATTCTATACTAAACCTAACATAGCTTATCCAGTCAGCATAGTAAGCCAATTTGCCAGTCAACCCAACATAGATCACATGTGCGTTGTGATAGAGCTGGTGATTCCCAAAAGATTTGCCTGTCATTTCCTAAGGCTTACAGTAGACAATCTAACAGGGAGGTGATTTAGAGAAGACTAAGACCAGTAGTCAAGATGTTTATTTGAAGGTTTATAACTGTAAGATTCAAATCATAAAAGAAAAGTCAGGTTAGGTGTAGCCTAGGATATGGGTAGTGTCAGTAGGGGTAATGACTCTTTCTAACTCTTTAAATATGTACTTCCGTGATGAGGGATGGGGAGGACTTTTGGAGAATTGTGGTCAAGTGAGGAGAGTTCTGACCTCTCGAATGCCAAACTAAGGGTGGAGAAGATCATCTTTTCTTCATCATTTTATCTTTCTAGAGAGGCCAGTGTTCATGTTGCTGCTCAGATGGTGTAGTTTATGTTGTTTCATGCTCTGTAATTGCCATCTAAGTATAGTTTCAGCCTTTATTTTGATTGTATCCCACTCTATTGTTCAGCAATAGTAATTTTTAGTTACATTGACAGTGTATTCTCTGGTTTTGCTTGTTTTTAAGCTTAATAGAGTAGAGGGTTCCATCACGTTGTCTATAGAATCCTACAGTAACTGAAGTCTAAACCAGGATAAGGGTTATACTTCAAAATAGGGACTCATAAAGGCATTGAAGACTCAAATGCAGATTGGGAAGGTCCTAAAACTGATAGAGGATCCACTACAAGGAATTGTACGTTCATATGGGGTAATTTGGTAACTTGAGGAGTAAGAAAAAACCTGTAGTTTCAAGAACAAGTAGCGTTGAAGCAGAGCTTAGAGCACTAGCACATGGCATTTGTGAAGGTTTGTGGATTGAACGATTGTTCAAAGACCTCAAAATGAGTTATGATGAATCAATGCAATTCTTTTGTGACAATCTAGCAACCATAAGGATCACCAAGAATCCCATTCATCATGATTGGACCAAGCTTGTAAAAATCGATTGCCACTTCATCAAAGAGAAAATGGTAGAAGTAAAATATACTCCAACAAGGCAGCAGATTGCAGATATACTCATAAAATCCTTAGCCAAGACCAAGTTTGAGAACCTAGCAAGCAAGCTATGAATGATTAGCATCCATTCACCAGCTTAGGGGGGTGTTGGTATACTCCAATGGGCTTGGACCAAATGCTTTTCAATCCATTAGTTATTAGGGTTTAATTATGCATATTCCATTTTTATTATATTTAATTATGTTTTTGTTATTAGGAATTACTACTAGGATATTTTCAAATTCTAGTAGGATTAGATTCAAATTTATTGTTGTAACCCTAGGCTCCTATATATGTATCATGATTATGAGGAGAATAAAATAATTTGAGATATTAATTCTCAGAAAGTTTCAATCCCCAACCTCATTTCACCTTTTCTACGAACACCCTGAATTTTCAGACTTTCTCTAAATACTTCTCCACCAATGGGAATAATGACAAAGACCAACCTTCTACCTAGAGCTGCGAATACAAGCAGACTCAGCCTTTAAAAGCCTGAGCCCTAAAGCCTGATTCTCCATTTTGAGCTCCATGTCTCAAGCCCAGCCCTTATATGAAGGGCTAAGGACCTGGCTCACAAGCCCTTTTCTAAAAAAATAAAAAAAATTAAAATAAAATTAGACATTATAAATTAATTAAAATATTCTAAAATTAAAAAAATTAAAATCCTCATAATTTTTTAGAAATTAAACAACACAAGAAGTTTAGTAATAAAATTTAAATCTTGACTAAAAAATAGTTCATTTTTTATAAATACACAAACATAATAATTATAGAAAAATATCAGAAATTTTATACTATATACTAATATTTATTAAATTATATTAAATTAATTTTAGAATAAATTAAAATTAATAATAATATAATGCGTGTAGGAATTAGGTGAGCAGGTCATTGGCTTCAAACACGTGTTCCACTAAAAATAACAATAATAATAATAATAATAATAATAATATAATAGAGCTTGAAGGGCCGCCCAAGTCGGAGCCTTTTTTTACAGGGCTTATCAAGGTCAAGCCCTTAAGCCCAATTTTTTAAAAAAAATTCATTTTCAAAGCTCAAACCCTTATTTAAACAGGGCTTCCAAGCCCGGCCCTTATTCCCGGCTCTACTTCTACCAGTGTCTGGAAAGGTTTCCAGGAGAGTGAGGATAAGTTTGACACTCTGTTCACAGAAGATAGTAGAAGATTTGAAGTGCACGGTGTCATAACCATTTTCACCACCACCCAAAAAAATACCTTTCATGTCACCTTAATCATTTGGCTTCCTTCAACAGAATCATGTTTATTATACTTGAGTTTCCTTTCTTTGCTATCATGTCTTTCCACTCTAGTAAATAAATTCTCTAATGAGCAACCACTGTGCACCAGATTAGAGAAGAAGGAGAAGGTGACTAAAGACAAAGGAGATAGATGCTTCTAGAGACAACTGGAGACGATGGAGCCTGCTGAGAAGGGAAGGGCTTATGGTTTGAAAAGTTTCAATCCCATGATTAAATTTTCAATGCAACCTTCCCCATGGGTTTCGCCAATCTCATCTACATAGGTTTCACTAGTCCCAAGTAGCAACCAATCCATTGTACCAAGCACTCTATTAGTGGGCTAACCCAATACCACCTACCGAACATTTAGCTGAGTCAAAGCTTTGAAAAGCATAGCTAATAACATAAGAATATGTGTATTTGTCATGTGAACCTAAGTTCATCTAGAGACTGATTTCAAAATCCTTCTCTTTTTATGTGTGTGCATGTATGTGTGCACGCACATTTACATAAAGGAGAAGAAAAGACCGTGTGCGCATAAATGCAAAAGTATTCAATGATAAAAGAAAATGCTCACCAGGAAATGACAAATCTAATGACTTGTCTTCAGATGAAGAAGCATTTTCATTGAGAAGACGCTCTATACGCTCAGCAACAGCTGGTGGAACTCTAAGTATGAATTGCTCCTCCATGACTTGAAAAAATAATTTAAAAAGGGAGAGAAAATTACAAATCTAGGAATAGCTTTGAATCCAGCAAGCTTTTTTCAACAAACTCAACGTAAAAAATTGCCTAACAAAGTCAAGGAAAATATAACATCAGTTAATTGATATAAATGTAAGGGAAAATTAATCATTTGACCCCTATTGTATTCATTGTGACTTGGCATCTTGGTGCTTATAATTTTGATTCAATTGCAACTCATTTTTTGAATTTTAATTCAGTACAACTCAATCTCTATAGTTTTAACCATTTAAAATATTAGTCCCTGTATTTTAGAAAATAAAATTATAAGGACTAAAGTTATTTCTTGAAACTTAGGAACTAATGTCTTAAATTACTAAAACTATAGAGACTAAGTTGCATCCAAGTGAAAACTATAAGTGCTGAGTTGCATTAAGTTAAAATTTAAGAATTGGGTTACAACTTAATCAAAACCATAGGGACAAAATGATTATTTTTTCCTAAATGTAAAATGCATACTGGCATAGCTCCTTCAACATAATATGTCTGGGCATTCAAGTCCCAAAACTGCAATACTTTTAGAATTAGACCAGCTTTCTATTATTTTCATTAAGTTTCTATTAAGATCCTTGCTTACCTGCAAATTATATCCACTTAGATCACTCAACAACATACAGAGATTTCAGCATAAACCATCCAGATATGCAGCAGCAACTGAAGTGAGCTTTTTGTTTCACTCAACCAAAAAATTTTCTTTGTTTCACAAAAACCAAATATCTCCACATGTAAAAGCTAGGTTACTGTAAAGAAAGGTTCTCTACTATATGACTGAAAGGGATATTATTAAGAAGGCATCTCCTTTTGTTTGCTTTTCCTGATTGCTACAACCTAATAAGAAAATGACCCTTTGCATACAATTATTTAAGTCAGGCTCCAGAAAATGACCCTATTGTCTCTTTCGCTAAAAGGTCTTTCATCACAGACTAGATACCTGCAGATGTAATTTTCTCATTGACGAACTGACGTTTAATGAACCATGTGGGGGAATCATACACATGAGGAGCAGAAGACGGAATTCTAACACTACATATCACAGACGTAATTTTCTCATTGATGAATTTTTATGAAGTCAATATCTTTGCAATCCCTATGCACCACTGCAGCCCTTTATACTAAGATCCAAAGTTACACAAAGCTCCCAAGACTTTACCAGAATGAAGAAGCTGACAGGAATAAACTTCTGGTCATGTAGAGGAATAATTTAGCCCATAACTATACATCTCTCATTAGGTTTCTTCCTCAGACAATAAGTCTATACATTCAAGAGCAGATGAATAATTTGCCATGTGACAATATAAACAGAAAACACTGGCTATTCTATAACTTTGTCCTTCATTGCTTTGCTCCACACTACCAAGACATGGGCTCATAAGCCAGCAGCCCCAAAAAAAAAACTCGGGAGGGGGGGATCAACATCCAAAAGAAAATTATAGCACCCGTTTCACCATATACATTGCCACTGGTGGAAGAAGTAAGGAAAGAAATTGTACCAACTACTACTTCAAGCGATCCAATTCCATTTACAACCTAAAAAGAGGCCGTTTAAACCATAAAAAAAAAAAAAGGTTTCAAGCATCCAATTGCGCTGTTGCTCACCTCTCGCTATCTGATTTCCCAACAATTTACATCCTGTGTGCCATCAACTTACATCTATCCAAATTCGAAAGTAGTTGAAGTGAGTTTCCTACGCAGCTTAAATTTTAAACTTGCATGTTGAAGATCGAAGCTACCACATGAAGAATGGAAACAAGCATCTTTTTCCTTGGCGTATACGCAACAAAACTCAAAAAAACAGACACAAAGCATCAGGAAAACAATACACTAGCTAGCTAAAAAGCAAAATGCTTTAGATCACATGAGCTACCTTCTTGGAGACATTTGTCACAACATCAAACCAATTTAGAGAAGTTTCAGCCCATTTAAAAAGTTTTAGACACCCAAAAGATAGAACCTTTAATTTAGAAACTTACAAAGAGTGGCTTCCCTCAATAGCGATATATTTAAGCACTGACTAAAATTATTTCAAACTAATCGAATCAAACTGTTAAAAAAATATGTACTATATGGTTTAATGCAAAATATATGAAGGATGAGATACAAGTGGATCTCCTCCCTCCCGTGCGAGCATGCCAATTGCAGGTCAATTGCCTTGTTCTCCTCCGCAGATTGATCTGAAAGACAAGCTTAATCAGGATTTATTCCGTGCACTTCTTCCTCATTGGAAAACCTAGGCTTTACCAATTTTGATTCATATTGCTTCTCAAAAATTAGACGAAGATTAGAATTGATTTTATTATACCGGACCAGGGCAGAATCCCCCCCCCCCTCTTATCATAAATTGATACTGAGAAATTTGTTAACAGATAAAAAATGAAAAAAGCTCCCATGGCAGGAAAATATCTCTTTTGCCACACTCTTTTGCCACACCCTCAGCTACTACGTTTTCTTCTTCCAGCGACTTCGACATGGTTTTACATCCCCACCTCTCCCTCACGGAGATTACGGCCTTAACTACAGTCTAGAAGCTCAGAATCTCTATTAGCTATTCACTGCTTCTCCCATTCAAAGTGTGCAATGCTGGGTTCACCATTCAAGCCTTTGGTTCAATCTAACGGAGTGAAGTTGGACCATGACACGCAATTGAGGAGCACGCAATGGAGAGGAACCACATCGAGATGAGATACCTGCAACCACCGATTGAGCTTGCCCCTTCCTTTTCCCCTCGCGATCACGACGGCGATGAGCTCAATCTTCCCCGGAGAGCCCTAACACGATGAGATCCAGACCTATAATTGCGCCCTGGCGTTGTTTGCGTCCTTCCCTGCTGTGTCGTTGAATTGATTTTGATTCTGTTAATATAAGCTCACTTTGCTTGTCAAAACAAAAAACAAAAAACAAAAGAGCACTTTTATTTTTAAATTTTCTAATTATACTTCAGATTCTGCAAATTTTCTTGTGGTAAAAAGAAGAAGAAGAAGAAGAATTATTTTCATAACATAGGACATGATTTTTCGTTGGGGAAACGATAAGTAGATTTCAGAAAATTAAATTAATGATAGTTATATCCAAACAAATTTAAAAAGAAAAAAAAAGAAAGAGTTATACATATCAATTTAAACAGTTACAATATAAATATTATATTTAATATTTAAATACTTACTTATAATTAAAATTTATATATTTATAATTATATAAATAAATATTTTAATTTAATTTTTTAAAAAATTATTAGAAATTTATTTGTCATTAATTCAAAATTTTAGATCTAATTATCATTTTCATTTCATTTCTTACTTTTATTAAAATACTTTGGATTAAAAAAACGTTTACCTATAATTAAAATACTTTCTCACTCCAACTTTTCCTGCCAATGGACTTTTTCGAGCTTCCTCCAAGTATCAAAAGTCTAAACTTGTTTCTCACAAACCAGAAGTTTATTAATGAAAGATATATAATTATGGGAAAGTCTTGGGGGCTTTGCGTAACTTCGGAGGTGTGTGTTGATTAAAAGTCTCGTTTGCCTTCCATTTTTTCTAAACTCCTTCCACCGATGCCCAATATTCAATTAACCAAGGATTTAAGCCCAAACCATTCATTCTTACCCATTATTTTGAAGCCACTCACCTTGATGGGCTCAACAAATTGAGCTGATTTTATTTTTAATATTGTAGAATATTAGTCGGAAGAAAATTATGTTTCCTTCTTCAATTTTCTTTTCAAAGAATGTTTCAGCCACCTTGAGAGGAAGAATGAAGACAATTTTTAATATGAAAATCTCTAATGATATTGGTACTTACTCCCTTTTTAGTTTTGACAAAAAAATTCACATATCAATTTAAGTGTTTATTCTCATAAAAATATGTTATTTTTCTTTTTTTACCCTTAGTCCAATTATCAATACTGAAATAAATTAAAAATGATGATCCTCCCTATAAAAAGCTGATCAATAAAGAATGACTCCAATTATAAAACTAACCAATAAAATTGCTCCATTCTATCTTCCTGGATAGGCGCACATGACCAATAAAATGTCTTTCAGAATGATAATCATCACTAGAATTGAAGAGTATAAAAGGCATTGGATTTAAAGCGAAGGAAATCTCGTTGCTTTGCATTATCTTACTACAAGAGTATAAATAGTGAATCAAACAAGTACAGAGCGCCATTTCTTATCGTCGACCATGCTCTGTTCAAGCTCCAATAAAACAGAGACGAACACTATGCATAACTCACCTTCTCTACCTGACTTAAACCTTGACCCATACATTGATGCCTTGGTCATCTTTTTTTGGAAGAACTACTTGAGATGGGTGAAGATGAAGTTGATCACAGTGATGCTCTGCCTCTCAAAGATTCTTCTCCAGACATTATAACTAGTATGAATGCAACTTTTATGCTCTGCTTCATACTACCTTACAAATATAATACAACATTCATAAAGAAACAATGACAAAATAAATTTTATACATTGTCCAGGTTATGTAGGCGAGCGTGTCGTGAATGCAACATGCAACAAATGCAAGTTTTAAGTAATGAGGAACGCAGAGAAATAGGGCATTATCTTCTTCACTCAACAAGCGATAACAAGCTCAAAGGTGGTGCAACTAAGACCCTTGCTTCCATGTACTCAGTCGCTATCGATTTTATTCAACGAATTTGATGTAAATTTAGAGAGACATTTGACCCATCTCACAATAAAGCAAAGAAATATGAGCGGAAGAAGTTTGGAATGGATCTTCAACGAATTCGTGAAGTTCCTCTATCACAAAGGATGACCTTAAGATCTTCAGCTTGTACACTTGGGATAAATAAAGCCTACTAATCAGACTTTGAAAGCCAGGTATTCTTAGAAGGCGCTCTAATTCAATCAAGCCTCATTTGAAAGAGAAGCACATAATTGAAATAGTGAAGTTCTCATTATCTATGCTTGAAGATAATAGCATGTCGCATGACCTATATTTAAAACAATGTACAACATTGTGCATATTGATGAGAAGTGGTTTTATATGACTACAAGTCAGATATTTTTTACTCGCTAGCAGGTGAAGAGCCATATAAAACATGCAAGAGTAAGAATTTTACTGGTAAGATGGTGTTCCTAATTGTTGTTTCTCAACCAAGATTTGACAATGAAGGAAATGAAACTTTCTCTAGTAAGATCGGGGTGTTTCTACTTGTGACCAAAGAGCTAGCAAGGAGATCGAGCATTAACAGACCTGCAGGCACACTTGTAACCAAACCAATAAGTTCAATGAACAAGGAAGTGAGTTGGTCATTCTTGATTGAGAAAGTAATACATGCCATAAAATCAAAATGGCCAAGGGAGCATGTAGGAGAAAGAATTTTCATACAACAAGATAATGCCCCATGCCATATTGATGCAGATGATGAAGAATTTCTTTAGGTTGCAAGTGAAGATGGCTTTGATATTCATTTAGTCAATCAACCTCCTAATTCTCTAGATATGAATGTCCTTGACTTAGGTTTTTTGGCTAGTCTTCAGTCATTGAAAAATACAAAAGCACCTAAAACTATAGATGACTTGGCTAGGGCTGTGGAAAGAGAATTCGAAAGTCATCACCTCCAAACTTAAATAAGATCTCTCTTACTCTGCAGACTTGCAAGGTAGACATATTGAAAACAAGTATTTCTAACAACTACAAGCTTCAATACATCAAGAAAGAAATGTAGCTAAGGGAAGGCAATCTCCTTGCTCAAATAAAATGTGATCCATCTATTGTGCAAGGAGCCAAGGACTACTTAAGAGAAGTTGAATATTGGGGAGAGTAAGCATATCTGTCAATTGGAATCTTCCAATGAAAAGAGATGTCTTTTGATTTTTTTTAAGACTTTTATGATGTTTGATATTGTTAGCCATGGTTAAGATGTGTTTTGAATTTTTTTTCACTCTTCAAAATTAAATTCTAATGAAGTATGGCAAACTAGTATTTAGCTTGATTTTTGTCTAAAAAATATTCTAAAATTATCTAAAAAACAAAACAATAGAAGAGGAGAAAATTGCATAGCTAAGAAGGAACAAAATTTGATAAAATCCAAAACATATAATGTAACAAACCCCTAATAATAGGCAGGGGAAAAATACATGTAACATGCTCTTAATAAACTTCTTGCTATCTTTCTCTCCCCTCAGTCTGCTTCATTGTAGTCCTTTGGAAATTTATTTAGATCAAATGTGTATCTCCATTGCTCTGTTTTCCAATTTGGTGTGACCTATCAAGAAGTTTTGAAAATATTATTAGAATTGACTTCCTCCTCTTTAGGCAACTTGTTCAAATCGAATTTTATGACAAGTTCCTCTCAATCAAACAAATCTTCAACAATTGTGAATACTAGGTCTATCATGGAGACCTCTTCCTCGCTTGTCATCTTGTTTAAATTAATGTCATGGAATGCTTCATCACGATCAATAAAGTCTTCAACAACTGCATCAAGAGAATTTGCAACATACTCTTTGCATGGTAGTTTAGCCTCTATAATCAAAGTCAAAGAATTGGAACGTTAGATGATCACCATAGGGGCAACGAGAATAAGGTTGTATTTGTTCCAAGAATGGCTTTCCAACTTCATCTAATATCGTTGTATATTCCATGTGCATGCATTCATTCTTTCATAGTAAATCGTGCACAATAATTAGTAAAGATTTACACAAGTATCTAGGTTCATAATTATAAGGGGTAAAATGGAAAAAAAAAGTTTTACATGTATAAGACTGCTTATATTTTGAACCAAGTTTAGTTGGGAGAAACTACTTATATTTTAGACTAAAAGAAGTATCTAGGATTCCCTCTAACAAGGCCAAAAGAGGCTAAAGATAGATTTCGATAAAGGCTAATTGCTTGACTCTTGTAGGACATGCGACCCTTGCAAAATCCGTCATTAATTCCATCCCTTTGTATCCAATGCAAGTGGCTAAGATTCCTAATTCCATTTGCAATGAAATTGAGAAGCTGTAGAGAAATTTTATCTGAGGTAGTAGAGGACAGGGTATAGGCAGCAGGTAGGAGATGGAAAGTTGCTTGAGTCATGCCAAAGGATACTATCCTTAAAAATTATTCTGGTACTGGTATAGTAGACCTATAGTTCTCCAAAATTAAACAAGCACATCCTACAAGTTAGTAAGGGCATAGAACAACATAGACTAAGAAGAATACTCAAGCAGAACTTAGCACAGACATACAAGGCAGAGGAGGGAAGAAGTGGCTCAAAAACTCAAGAGCCTAGCACAATCGTTCTGTCATCATACATGCCTATATATAGGCTAAAGTCTTGGACATGAACATTGGGCATTCAACTACTAGAATAATGAACCATTAAGCCTCGATTACTCACTCATAAACCAACATAAAACCTCGATTATGCACACATAACTCCTGGAGCCGTTGGGGATAAACATGTAATAAAATTGATTAACACAAATCCATTTAAGAATCTTCTTAAAGACCAAAAATGGTTGAGGTTTGAATTTAAATTTGAATCAGTCCTGAACATGAACATTGGGCATTCAACCATCAGAATAATGGACCATTAAGTCTCGGTTACACACTCATAAACTAGCATAAAACCTTGATTACGCACACATAACTCTTAGAGCCATTGGGAACAAACATGTAATGAACTTGATTAACACAAATCCATTTAAGAATTAACTTAAAGGCTAAAAACGATTGAGGTTCAAATTTAAATTTGAATCAGTAAAAAAATAAGGTTTTCAGGTAAGTTCATTTAAATAAATAATTATTTATTTTTTGTAAAAATAATCTGATAAAAGAACCCAGTGCCTCTTGAACTCTCAAGCAGGGGGCTGTTTTCAACTACAA